GTGTGAGGGTGGTGAGAGCCTGGCCCAGGTTGCCCCGAGAAGCTGTGGCTGCCCCATCCCTGGAGGGGTTCAAGGGCAGGTTGGAGGGGGCTTTGGGCAACCTGGTCTCATTGAAGATGTCCCAGCCACTAGAAGGGATGGAACCAGATGAACTTTAAGGTCCCTTCCAACCCAAAACGTGCTGTGATTCTATGGCGATTTCACCCCTTCCCTGGGTTGGAGGGGACCTTTAAGTTCATCAAGACCAACCATCAACCCAACACCGACCAACCCACCACTGACCCGTGTCCCTCAGCAACAGCTTTTAGATCCCTCCAGGGATGGTATTTGGGGAGTGGAGCCACAGGACGAGGGGGAAGGGTTTTAAACCAAAAATTAGGAGATTGAGATGAGATGTGGGGCAGAAATCCTTTGGTGTGAGGGTGGTGAGAGCCTGGCCCAGGTTGCCCCGAGAAGCTGTGGCTGCCCCATCCCTGGAGGGGTTCAAGGGCAGGTTGGAGGGGGCTTGGAGCAACCTGGTCTGGTGGGAGGTGTCCCTGCCAGGGCAGGGGGTGGGATAGAGATGGTCTTCAAGGTCCCTTCCCACCCAAACCATTCCATGATTCTCCATTTCCTCCCCTGGAAAGGGCTCCCTCTGTTTCATTTCAGCCCTTGGGGCCACCAACTCTCACACTCCAGGGGGTTGCTCAGCACCCCCCCACCCAGCAAATTCTCTACCCCAAAAAACGAGACAGACACCCCCCGCACGACACTGAACTATTGACCTTTTTTTATTTCAATCAGCTACAGCAGCTCTACATTCCCCGGAGCCTGTCCCTCCTCCCGCCCCCAGACCGCGGGGAGCCCGGTGCACTGCGCTGGCAGCAAGTCCTTAAAGCTTAGTATTAAATATTAAATATTCTCTCATTTATGTTTTAACATTACTTTGTCAAGGAAAACAAAACGAACAAACAAGAAATAAGACAATTAAAACTTAAGTTATACGAATCTGGGGGTTGGGGTGGGGGGGGATGAAGAGTTTCCCCCACCCCTCCTCCTCCTCGT